TTTATATAGATTTAAATGAAGATATTTTATGTTTTGTGCATATGTTTATATTTTTGAGTGTAGAGTTTCAACAAAGAGGGCCCCAGGTTAAGAAATTCATGTACTTAATTGAAATTAACAAAGCATATATATTTACATGAAGTTAATGATAAAACAGAGTTTATTCCACCAAACCTCTACGGTACCGGATGTTTTAAAGTGCAGTAAACCGAATTCCACATTTGCTGTTCTGCACCAAATTGGTCTTGGAACATCGAGTCGCTCAATACTAACAGCCAAAACTCCGTTCTAGTTTTCCTTTTGATATGTGCTCTCATTTGACAGACTGTGGCATGGCAGTGTGACATGCAGCACTCTCACAGTAACAGTATTTGATGATGCCCTAATTGCTTCCACATTTCTCACACTTCTGTTTCTCCACAGTAATTCTGCTGCTGTCTTTCCACACTTTTAGGAGTTTTGCCAGATCTTCTGAATGAAACTGATTTCCTGTAAGAGGACATTTAAGCAGAAATAGCTTTGGGAACTGATCTATTCAGACCTCTGAGGGGGACAACAGTCTCTGAGAGCTGTGATGATTCATGAGATGAGGGAACTGCTGCAGGACTGGGAATCAGTCCACAACTGAACTGAAAATGTAGTTTGACTGAGGACTGTGTCATAATGACAAAGCCATCATTTAAAAGATGATGTGCTTCTTGTCATTTCAACAGACAGTATCAGATAGATGGTGTTACATTACTGGTCAAGCAGTAACTTGTTTTACGTCATGCTTCTGAAATGGAATCAATAGGAAGCGGCGTTTTGACAGCGAGGCCAGAGACGAACAGATTGGAAAGTTCAATGGCACTTCCATGTACCATCACTCTCTGATGTGTTACGTCCCCGAACACATTCATCACATTGAGGCTGGCACAGCAGTTTTGACTACATGCATTTTCTCTCGCATGAACACTCTGGCTCAACTTTAAAAAAAAAAACAATTCACAGAAGTTCTAACTCAGGTGTTATTAAGTACATCCTGAGTCTTTTGGGTGCTTTCACATATGGGACCAGGACCCGGATCCAAGTACACTCTACCCCAAAATCCAGTTTGCTCTCCCAGCCTGAAAAGTGCTTTACAAAAAGCTGTTGTGTTTCACTGGCCACTGTTTAACGTAGCTCGACCGCACAGGAGCTATTGGTCAGATGATGTCTGTCTGGGGATGAATGGATTCAACTACCTGTTCGGTTTCCTCAAGTTGTTGACATTATCAAAGATAAGATAAGAGATGAGTTCAGATTTTGTGGTAGCGACAAGATCATCCACTTCACCACTTCACCACCCACACACACACATGCACACACACATATATACACACACTCAAGCAATGCTGGCAATCAGAGGAGCGAGTCTGTAATCTTGGTGTTAACAATATCTTTGCTGCTCCAAAGTCAAGATTTTTTTTGTCAGAAAATACCGAAGTCCGGTCCTCGGTATTAGGTTTTGATTGGAGGAGCTCAGCCCCAATACAGAGAGCAGAGGACGAATAAATTATACCAAAACATGAAAAAGTACTACCAAACAAACCAGTAATGCCTGAGCTTCAAGACCCATCTCTACCTTCAGGTAGCGTAAAAACCCTAAAGGCTCTCATTGTTTAGTTTGTCCGTTCTGGGCTGCTGTAGAAACATGGTGGACTACATGGAAGCTAACGAAACACAATGATTCTCATGTTCAGGTCATTAATGAAAACATAGTTATTTTATTTATTAATTATAAACATTATATTTCATTTCTGCCAATATATTCCCCTAAATCCTGTAAACTGTTCCTTTAAGTAAAAGGAGAAGGGTACTCGTACTTAACATGATTATTTCCATTTTTGGCTACTTTATACTTCAAATATTTTACTTTTTACTCCACTACATTTATTTGACAGCTGTTTTCGGATTAATATTTTACATCAGAAATAACAGAATCTTATACAATAAAATACATTATTAAAGATTAAGTGTTCCAAACATTTTCCGCTTATGACCTCAACACTCTGCCCTTTTCATGTTTCATACGTCAATGAACTCATAGAGTAGTTCCACCAAAGGTTTTATTTAAATGAGGCCCAACAAGGTAAGTTTCTTTCATCTCTCCTCTCCCACTAATCATCTCAAGACTCCTCAGATTTATCCTCTAACCCTTTTGAGGATAAACACGAAGGTTGGATACCTCTGGACTAAACTGGCTACCTGTATATAAAGTAATTAAATTTAGCTCCACCAGCAGTGAAATGCTACTTTCATAATCAGGATTAATAATCTAATAATAAAGATTATAGTGATATATCAGTCACAGCAGATATTTTAACGTGACAAATCAATGGAGAATATTTAAGATAAAATTCGACCAGGAAATATAACACATGTGGATAGTGCTGGACATAATATCTTATCAAAGATATTATCCTAATCACTTTTAAATCACTTCTTAAAACCTATTTTTACAGACTGGCTTTCATGTGATGTCGTCGCTTTACTGCTTTATTTTTATTTGTTGATTTTACTAAATTATTTTTCTAAATTATTTTTATTTTATTCAATTCGTAGTTTATTTTAATCGTATCGGCAGTTTTTTCCCCGTTTCATCTATTGTTCTGTTTAGTTGTCTTGCTTTATTGGGCCTCACTGTTGAGCTTCTGTTGTTGTTATTATTGCCTTGCTTTTCGTCCTTTGTCTGTCACAGCACTTCGTAAACTATTAAGGTGCTATATAAATAAAAGTATTATTATTTGCAAACAGCATTTACAGTAGCAGCTCTAGCAGATGTTATGATGTGTATGAACATTAGAGGGCAATCTCTCATTCGAGGGATGACCAAACTTATATCCACCCCCATATCCTCACATCTCTTCTAATTAGGATCATTTGAACAGTGTGGCAGTCAGTAGTGTTACATTTCACCTCTGCATTTGAAAATGATTATGAATGATATACATCACCCTCATGAAAAAATAAATTTTGAAACGTGAATTATGACATTGTCCATACGTTGTTTCATTCTCTGTAAGTTGATTATAAATCATCATTATGATCATTCAGTTCTCTTTTATCCTGTATTTCAGTTTGTGTTCATGGTACCGGTGTCCTCGATGATGACTCTGCTCACTCCCTTCAGTCTGATAATCTCATGTCTAATTGGTTAAATAGAGCAGATGAAGCTAGACCAGGAATAGACTTCCCACATCCCACAGACAAAGACAAATATGTCTGAGGTTGTCACAGTTGGAGGTTAGTATAACATGACCAAGTTAAAGGAAATAGGGGGTTACGGAAAGTCACAGTTTGAAATCAACCTTTCAAACAGTCAGTGTCAATTGAAATGGCAATAATATAATATCTATGACACTGGCAACTTGAATTTTGCATAACTTGTGCTGTGTTGTGCTAAACGTGCTGTGTAACTCAACTTGAAAGCAGAGGTATCTCATAAGTTCTTGAAAAAGTTGACATTGAGATGAGAGTTAAATTGAAATGAGTGAAGTGGAGAAAAGCTGTATGAAGGCCGGTTTCTGTTTGTTGAAGCTATCGAAACGTCTCATGGCATTTTGTTCTGCCACATCAAGGTTACACTCACTGACCAAATGAGGTGTTAGAATTTCTTAGAATGCCTTACAATTCTGAGATTAGTTTAATTACTAAGAATTGACAGCTATGCCATCATCTCTATGTAGCCTATTAATGCACACTAACATTAACATGCTAACATTTGCTCAGTAGCATTAAACATGAACACCTGATTCTGATGGCAACCATTCAGTCATTAGCTTTGCATGTATTTGATCTTAAACCAAAGTATTAAGGAATTACATACTTTACATGATGATGGCACTTGTTGAAAAGTCAGAGATTACCAATAAGACTACAATTCATCCTGACAGAAACGTGAATGACTATAGCTTCCTTTCATGGCATTCCGTCCAATAGTTTAGGTATGTCACTCAAAACTGCAAATGTCAACCTGACCAACAAACAGAGCTAAAATCTCAAGTGTGTGACCATCATGTCTCACCCATCCAGCAGTCTGTTTCCACTGACTTAAGACTGTTCAATGTGTCCAGTCAGTCAGTTTAAGCACTACAAGTAGACCTCAGGTAAGGTCACCTCTTTTCTACCTCTTTCAAGGATGCAAGGATAATTTACTGTCATTATGCAACACAGGGATGTATAACAAAATGCAGTTGTAGCCCATTTGTAACACAAGAAAAACATGACAAACAAATCCAAAACAGAAGAACATTCCTGTAGAGCATTTTCTGAATTTGCATCAGAAGGAATGTAAACAGCAGCAATAAAACAGTTCTCTGGGCAGATAATATGACCGATATCTGAACATTAAAAATTAGACAATGGCACTTTATAGGCAGGGTGTAAATGTTTTTGGTTTTTAAATTTTCGACAAAGAGGCCCCTAGTTTCAGAAACACCTACCGTATTACCACCATCTCAAACACAGTGTGATATAACTTCAGATTTAGTCCCCATGTGAATCTCACAGCTCAGCCGGGCGATTGGGGAGCTTAGAAATTTGGCACCCACGCTTGGTTCCACACCCTTGAATGACAGGAGCAAACTACATTCCTCAGGCCAGACAAGTCAATCTGCAGTGTTTATAAATGAGTCCTGATACACTGTAGGACAAGTCTTATTATAGTAAATCTAAAGAAAATATAGGAGAGGGACTAAATACCATACAAAAGAGTTCTACCGGCGCACTGGTAGGCAGGGAAAAATAATTCTGTTTACATAACAGTAAATCAGGGATTACAGCAATATACAACGGGCACTGTTTCATCCATTAATGAGTCCACCATGGTTTTAGCCAACCGATCTGTGTGTGCGCGCGCGCATGCGCGTGTCCGTGCCTGTGTGAAGCCACTGACATGCAGAGCAGCAGAGAGATTAGCGCTCAATCTGACTCTGGGCGGTTTGGTGCGTGTCCTCAACTCTCCGACTGTTTGCTGGAATATTCCGGGAAGAGACGCGGATCAATCATTTTGAGTGGAACTATTCAGTTCAAACAGTAAATAGTCATCTGAGGAAGACGAGGTGAATGTTGAGTTTTGTTGACTTCGGATAGTTTTTACGCGTGTGGATCGTTCTGTAGTTTTAACAGTTTGTTTGCAGAAGAGTAAATATCACTTTATTTGGAATCGGGCGTTTTTAACTCCAAGTAATGACAGCCCGATCAAAGCTGAATGACGGACCTGGTAGGCTATTGTAATATTTTATACACAACTCGTGATTTTCTGGAAACATCTCAAGAGACAACCATTTTCAATTTCATATAGACTAGAACATTAGCAGCAAATTATTTTGGAACGAAGAACTTTTTACCGGAATCACATGTCAAATGGCAGAAGATAATGAACAGTACAATGCTTCTGAATTCATTAAAGGTAAGTTACATATCATTTATGATATTTTATAATGAGTAATAATCATGTAATCAACTGTAAAGCTTGTTGTAGACATACGTCACTATTATACCAACATCCATCCTGTGAGGTTAAGGTGATGTTAACTTTAATCAGGTAGCTAATAAATTCAACATGAACTTTGAGACTTCCATTGGAAAACATGATGTTTAATTTATAGATACCATATTTATTTAAAAAATGTATAACCTGTAGAGTAACTAAAGAGTCACATGAGGGTCTATATCACATTGATAACTTAAAAGTAAAATACCACTTACAGTAGATTATAATAACTGCACTAGAAGCACAGATATAGTATTCAAATACTTTCAAATACATTGATTCTGTTTCGGTTATTCTCTAAAACAGAGCTAAAGCAATGGGAAATTACTTATTGTAGTTTGGTCTGCTTACCAGTACAGTTGAAGCAGCAGCAGTGACCGTGACACACAGCTCATGGATACATCTATGAGGTAGCCTTCTTTAGAACCCTTTTAAAGCCTAACTGACACAATTTGCATAAGTGTGCATATTTGTTGAGTTAGTGTGCACATTTGTTGAGTAAGTGTGCACATTTGTAGAGTAAGGGTGCACATTTGTAGAGTAAGTGTGCACATTTGTTGAGTAAGTGTGCATATTTGTTGAGTAAGTGTGCATATTTGTTGAGTAAGTGTGCATATTTGTAGAGTAAGTGTGCATATTTGTAGAGTAAGTGTGCATATATTTAGAGTAAGTGCATATTTGTTGAGTAAGTGTGCACATTTGTAGAGTAAGTGTGCACATTTGTTGAGTAAGTGTGCACATTTGTAGAGTAAGTGCGCACATTTGTAGAGTAAGTGTGCATATATTTAGAGTAAGTGTGCATATTTGTTGCGTAAGTGTGCACATTTGTAGAGTAAGTGTGCATATTTGTAGAGTAAGTGTGAGTTACATTTTCTAAAGATATCATTATCCCTGACAAATAAACATCCATAAGTGTTATGGAATATTTCTATGTTAATCGCGAGAAGAGAGAGTTGTTCACAAATTAATAACAAAGTCTTCAAAAGATTCAAAGTTGTCTTTGTCCATTTATTTGCTTGCAAGCAAAGAGAGCAGATTCACAGACACGTATCGCAGAGTCTGATGAGAATGCCCCAAAAACGGTTCTCCGTCCATTCTTATTTATACCTTCACAAACAAAGGAGACAGTGAGAAGGGGGGGGACAAGTCATACGTGTGCATCAGTGTCTGGTACATGACCTCTGCATTACAGGAAGGCGCCTCGTCCTCTGCCGCTACCCCTAAATGGCTTGCATGTGCCTCGTCTTATGCTATTGCCTTATATGGAGTCGTTTTATGTCACAGCGGCGCTTTCCTCTTACAGAGACTATGCAGAGACCATGTTAAAACATTTTTTACCGTTACATAAGTCAGCTTGGAAAGTTAAAAAAGACGTTCCTTATTACTTTAAAACTTCATCACATTTAAAAGTAACCCAGTGGTAGTTGTCTGTACATCCATGAGTACATTGCAAACTAAAGGAATCAATATTTCTCTCTATGTGATCCAGGGCTTATTGAACAGCATGGCTTGCTCCGTTTCTGACATAAAACCAAAACTGTCTGTGTTCCACCTAAACATACAGGACCGATCATAATTCGGTGTTATCTGTCTGCTTGTCCTCCTGTCTGTCTGTGTGTTTGTTGTTTACCACAGACCGTCTGTACTTTGCCACTCTACATGTCAAACCAAAGAATACAGCCAACACACACTACTTCAGCACGGACGAGGAGATCATATATGAGAGGTAAGTCTCTGTGATGAGCCGCTGGATCAAATTAACAATACCAGAGATCAGGCCGCCACAGAAACCTCAACGCCACGCAATGCAAGGCAGTGGGACAGAAACACAATTATGGCAAATGGCAGATGTCCTTATCTAGATATGGTGACACAGCAGTGCACCAAAACATTAAAAGATGTATACTGACTCAAAATATTAGTTATAGATGTTATAGACCGTGTTATAAATTCACTTTTTCTTTCAACATCCATAGTGGCTGGTGGACTCTCAATTCTTCCTGCCACTCGTATTTTTTAGCAGCCACCATTTTGTAATCGCACTTCTGTGTGTAACTAAATTTTGTGTAAAGTTTGTCTCGCTTTTTCAAAAAACAACAAAAAAATCGAATACACATTTATTCGATAAAAAGTATCATTTAATATTTATTCACTTATGGTTATCCATTTTTAATTCTCTCTCTGTCACAACACACCCATACACACGCACACACACACACACACACACACACACACGCACACACACACACATTTATTTAACTTTTTCTTAACCAGGTTTGTCCCATTGAGATCAAATATATTTTACAAGGGAGACCTGGCCAAGGTTACCGGCATTACGGAGTGTCAATATTTAACATAAAAGCACGTATACGGTTTGAGTAACATTAAAAATGATCAGATAAAACATTTGCACACAGACATTTTTGACTAGATTTCACCATAGTTTAAAACTTGTTTTGGCCGGAGATCAGTCTGTAGATAGTTCCATGTAGTAGTTGCATAAATCTAAAAGCTTTCTTTCTCAATTCAGTTCTGACTTTGGGAACAACAAAACGCAAAGTACTGCAAACGGAGAATGCAATTTCCTCATTTCAAATTTAAAAGTTTATATGTAGGTGATTTTCCACAGTTGTTGGAGCTCCCTGGCGAAGGGCTCAGGTCAGTGGCAAATCGGCTCGGTGCTCACACATTGGCCCTCAAGCACTACGCGTGAACTGTTCAACAACATGAGCCTAGAGTAGTGAAAAGAGGTGACAAAGGGTTGAAATAATAACACAACAGTTAATGTGTGGAAAAAATAAAATATTTCCAATAATATATTATTTATTGCTGACATCCAGGACTCCTCCCAAAACACATAAAAGCCTGTAGGGCCTATTTCAATTTTATTTGGAGCCGATAAACACGTCCGTTTTGTTGGGTTTCTTTTGTATTAAGATATGTTCAATTTGCCATAAAGTAAAAGTTCCCTTTTAAGTAGGAAGTATCCCTTTTTAATTTCTTAATACAATTAATATTGTCCATATCATTTTGTAATATGATATAACACCAGCACCGCAAACCCCCTAAAAAATACAGTAATATAATATAATTCTACGATTATATATCGCCCACCCCTAGCCTCATATCAAAGATTCAGTATTATATCAATATATTTCCCTAATTGTCTCAGATGTAGCAAAAGCCTCAGAGAGGTCTATGAACGGAGAAAGACAGCCTTGCATGTTATCTCGGGGTTCGGTTGTATCGTTCATGACTTTCATAGCAGCATTCAAAGTACTATGTCTTTCTGACTGAAATGTAGATAGTATAGAGTTGGTGGCCAGCTACTCTTTAACTGACCAGTGATTCAAGCCCCTCAGCTCGGCAGTAATAGCTTTAGAGTAGAATAGTTTTATTAGGTGAAGTTTAATTTAGACACACATGAAATACATGAAATTATAAAAACATTTTATTTGATTATGTTTGATTTGAGAGCAGATTGGATGACACGACACATTCATCTGTTTCTTTATGTGTTGCAGTTTCTATGCAGACTTTGGGCCGCTCAACCTGGCCATGCTGTACAGATACTGCTGCAAAGTCATAATGAAGCTCAAGGTAACAGACTTATCCCATACCTGTAATAGCCACAGCCAAATTACCTAAATTACCATAAAGCTCTGTGATGTAAATTTATTGTCTACATTACATGGACTTTGGGCAACAAAAAAACTTGTGCAGTTTTGTTACTGATTTTTCATCAGATATTGACTTTTTTTGTCACTTCAGTCCTTCACGATGTCTAGAAAGAAACTGGTCCACTATACCAGTTATGACCAGAAGAAGAGAGCAAATGCTGCTCTTCTCATCAGTGCCTATGCTGTAAGTATTTCTATATTTGTTCATTTATCCTTCTATTAATCCTTTTACTTTATCTGACTGTCCTTTTGTCCATTATTAATAATGCAGTCTAACCTCTTCCCTATAGGTGATTTATTTGAAAAGAAACCCAGAAGAAGCCTACAGAACTCTGATCTCAGGAAACAACACATGCTACCTGCCATTCAGGTAGGACTAAACACACACAAACACACAATTGTCATTCTGGTAGCCCCAGGTCAAAGATTCAAGGATGTTTGAGCACCAAGCATCATGATGTCCACCTCCTCTGGTCCCACCAGAGTCCTGCTCTCTGTCCTGCGGTCCGCCCGTCAAGTGAAACTTGATCCGGGATGAACGATGGAACCAGGTCTATCAGACACCCAGCAGTCGGCTGGGTAGTGGAGTAGCATCAGGTCTTAGCTGGGTTAGCTTAGCTTCCATCTCGGCTCTCCTCCCTCTCCTCCCTGGTCACTCTGTGTTATACAGACATGGAACAGATGATGGCAGCCTAGCCGTGGACTATCCCCCAGTCTCCGGTTGCTCTGTCTCAAGAGTTGGGTGTGATAAGCACATCGCCCCCTCTGGGCCATCCTCTATAGGCTTGGCTCCTGATGGGGACAGGCTGAGGAGAGCTCGACTGTCTGTACAGGTTGTACAGGCCATCCAGGCGGCAAGAGTGGGATCGCTATTGTTACAAGGCAAAGTGGTCAAGGTTCCAACACTGGTGCCAGGAAAGGAGGCTAGATCCCCTGTCTTGTGCTGTTGGATCTATTCTCTCCTTTTTGCAGTGTTTGGTGGATAGAGGGCTGTCTCATGCCACTGGGTTTTAGCAACAGACCGGTCTTTGACCACCCTCTCAAAGCCCAGTAATCCGCTCTTTCTCTCCACAATGGAAAGTACTTTAGTCCTTGGTAAAGGGGCTCTTGGAGCTACTGGAGCCCTCGTCTCTGAAGGTGTTATCATTCAAGATGGCTTTGCTGCTGGCACTGGTGGCTCATGGGTCGTTGGGCAAGACACTTAACCCCAAATTGCTCCTGTAGTAGTGCCATCGGTGTGTGACTGGTTAACTAGCCCTGATGGATGGTGGCACCTTCCATGGTAGCCTGCCATCAGTGTATGAATGGGTGTAAATGGGTGAATGACATGTAGTGTTAAAGCAATGTGAGTGGTAGGAAGACTAGAACGATGCTATACAAGTACAAGTCCATTTACCACTACCCTCAGCTAAGAGAATGTGTGAACTAACAGCACTGTTGGTGCACTCAAGCTGCTTGCTGCTTCGTGGTGACCGTAGCGGGGCTAAGGGAGGCAAAGTTACATCTGCTTTGTACAGTTTGTGCATTGGCATGTTATGTTGAATGGACGGCCCCCATCAGAAACACTGAACAGCTGCTTATGTGCTTCAGGGTGGGGCTTGTAATCCCCTGTCCAAGAAATGCCTGATGGAATGGCATTGTGAGTGCATTTCCCAAGCCTATAGGCAGGGTACAGAGACACTCCCACTTCAGTTTACGTACAGACAAAACAAACAAAATATAAGTATTTAAGCAATTGAGTTTTAGATGTGCTGGTAAGTCAATTTTATTAGAGCCAGTCTTTATGCTGTCCAGCGGCTGGGGGTCACTTCATATTTAAAGGACCAGTATGTAGGATTTTGTTCCATCTAGTGGTAAAAACTGTAGAAACCTAGTAGTTTAGCATGGACAACATGTAGATATGAAGGGCTTATTCTAAGATAACAAAAACACAACAGTTCTTAGTTTCAGGTTATCATACACTAATGAAAACAGATTCATGAACACTATATTCCATTTCTGCCAATTGACTCTTTGACACTGGACCTTTAACAGATATGAGAGGAGTATCAATTTGTTTCATCTCTCTCTCAATAAGGAAGCAAATGGGCATTTCCAAAATGCAAACATCATACTCAACTTGTTTATTTCCAGTTCACAGAGTCTCATACACTTTACAGTTAAATACTGTATAAACACCAGACACACAACTCACATTACATGTAAACACACACACACATATTCGTGTTGTGCAAACTATCATGTATGTGTTGGTTTTTTTGCAAAGATTCTGTAGCTCAAACCCACTGATATGAAAATGATTTGATATTTTGGTCATATTTTGCAATGCCTTCAACTTGCATTCTCTTTAGTGTCCATCAGGGGGCGACTCCTCTGGTTGTATTGAAGTCTATGAAAAAATGACTACTTCTCTCTTGATTTATTACCTCAGTAAACATTGTAAACATGAGTTTATGGTCTCAATCTCTAGTTTCAATTCTTCTTCAATACAGCATGATGTTCATTCAGTAAATTATGATCCATTTAGAGTCAAATAGACCATAAAGCAGGATGTGATTCAACGCTTTCAACGTGTTTTCAGCAGTGGTGTACAGTAACGAAGTAGAAATACTTCGTTACTGTACTTAAGTCGTTTTTTTGGATATCAGTACTTTACTTTACTATTTATATTTCTGTTGACTTTTACTTTTACTTCACTACATTTTGCAAAGAAAACTGATACTTTTACTCTGATACATTTCCCCTGAAACCTTCGTTACTCGCTACAAAATCAATCTTTAGAAAAAAAATGAATCATGAGACCAACGTCGGGGACTGTGGTGGAACAGAGACTGCAAGCAAGCAGGTTTGGCGAATCAGTGGTCCTAGCTTGCAAGTTAAATCATTGGTTAATCACGTTAATGCGCAATTGCAAACAAGTGCTCTCAAAGCCGTGGTGTTTTGATTCCCAGTGATACCCAGGATGCTATATGCTATAGCTAGCGAGCGACTACATGAGCAGAATTCCACTCTACGATGACTGATTTCATGATGGAAGCAGAAATGGAAGCACCTGCTACTCCCGCAACAAACAACGGTGGTGACGAAGACCAACACCCGTGGATCGCTAGCGAGTTAGTGAGCTGAGGAAGTGTTGACAGTTGTGCAGCACTAGTTAGCTAACTTAACGTTAGCTAGCCACCACACCATATGATTGACAGGAGCCGCGAGAGCGCAGCATTAGGGAAATCCTTCCCAGCTGTGCACAAGCTGTGTGTGAAGCTGAACACACCTCTACCTGCCTCAGCGGCCTGTGAAAGGCTGTTTAGCATCGCAGGACTAGTCTTCAGCCCAAGAACAGCGAGACTGAATTCTCGCAATTTTGAAAACCAACTTCTTTTGAAGATGAACAGGACATTTTTCAGTTTCAAGTAATGACTGTGTTGTTACTTTCGGTGCTGCTTTAGTATTGATCATGTTTTGATATTTGAGTCATTTTGTGGATGATCAGATGGAGTTATGATGGTAGCAGTTGCCAAATTGCAGATTCAGCTTGAGCAAAACCTTTGCCCAAGCAAAAATTCAGGCCCATAGGAGTTTACAAGGCAGGTGTCCTTTCTCAAAACACTGACCTGATGCATCAAGTGGATATTTTTTGCTGAACACAATATTATGCATTTGCCCTCTCCATCCTCTAGTCGGAATGAGCATACTTATAAACGCACTGTTACAACTCCTTCATAGTGTCATATTGCGACTAGAGGAGAATTATGATGATAAGTTGATAGTAGATGCAAAAGTATACTTATGTACAATATATTATGTTGAACATTGTTGCTCCTGGATGGATCACAGCCAACCCAATTATTGTCAACACAGCTCCACAGTTCTTGGTGATGGTGGCCACTGCACTTAAAAGAATAAACTTCATAATTCTCAAAATTCTGACGCTTTGCTTTTTTATTAACAGCATTTACTTGTACTTTTACTTTCAATACTTAAGTACATTTAATATCAGAAAATTACTTTTGATACTTAAGTACAATAAATATCAGATACTTTAAGACTTTTACTCAAGTAGTATTCTAATAGGTGACTTTTACTTTTACTGGAGTAGTTTTCCAGTCAGGTATCTTTACTTTTACTCAAGTATGGCTTTGCGGTACTTTATACACCACTGGTTTTCAGTTAATGAAAATGTGTTAATTAAGTAATATTTAGATTGCCTTGTGATGTCTTATTCAGCGTTTGGTTGTACTTAGCTCCAACCTCTCATGTAGTTTCTGGTTGCAAAAAGCCAAGATGGCGACAGGAACAAACCAACATGGCGACGGCCTAATGCCAAACTTGAGGTTAAAAACGTCAGTCCACAAACCACTGGGTGACATCATGGCGACTACTTCCACTTCTTATTCAGAGTCTATGATTGCAACTTTGCTTTTGACTAGAAATGTTATAGTACACTGCTATAATTACATTTATCTGCATTGCACTAAAATACAATCACAAAAAGTACAAGTATCGTAATATTCATTCTTTCTTGTTGGCCATCCACCTAGTTGTGTTATGTTTTGACAGGCTAATTCTGCCCAACACAACAACACGGTGAACAGGATCAATATCAGTGTATAAAAAAGCAGCCACCACTAGTAAACTGCCCTTGCTGTGTTCACATGTGCATGTGTGTCCTGCAGGGACGCAGCAGTGGGAGAGTGCTTCTTCAACCTTACTCTCCTCGATTGCTTACAAGGAATACGGAAGGTAAACAACCACAACAACATGAACCGCAGTGACTTAAGTTAGTAAATTGAGTAGTTGAGTACTTACTTAACCCCTCACACACGCAGACTCGTTATCAGCGATTAGTCAATGCTGTGTCAGCTTAAGTTTATCCAGTCACCTGAGGAAACAATTCTAACCCCCTGTTGTTATATCATATTTGACCGATGTAAGCTATTCTGATATACAGTATAGGATAATACAGCATTTGCCCTGAAAACTGGGATTTTCGTTCTCACTGAAGTTGAACTCTCTCTCTCCTCCAGGCATTACAGCATGGTTTCTTTGACTTTGAAACTTTTGATGTGGAGGAATATGAACATTATGAGGTGAGGGCACACAGACACTAGTAACTATCATCAACTCACACAGACCCACTTGCATAACAGTTAAAAGACACAATTATGGGCAATTTCATTCCATGTAACAATAAAAGATGTATTTAAAAGACAAGGAGCATTGAATGTGTTGAGACAGTGTGGGTGCACCTGCTCAGTGATCTAAGTAGAAGTCGGAGAAAAGTACTTAGCTTTGCTCGGATTGAGCAAGACCAACACAACCCACCTGCTTTGGCACTAACAGACATATTGCCACATGCACTCATTCTTACATGAACATACGCATATGCATCAATAGAACACTATGCACAATACTTCCACCCCAGCCCAAATTAAAGTTATATTCCAGCCATTTAGTTCTGTTCTTTCACAAAGTTGGAAACAGATCTGTGCAGATGTCAGAATTCAAGCAACGGAGGCCATAATATCCGGATTTTGAATCCCTAATTCTGTATAGAGATAGCTACATTTCCCATAATGCAACCAGAATATTTTACCTGTTTGATAAATGCCCTTGTCTCGCATACGCCACACCCCCAGTTAGTAAGGCAGGCTTTCTGTCATGAATTTGTTCTCCAAGCCCAAGTGGAGATAACTCTGGTGACATCACTAAGGCCTCATTAGGGATATACCTTCCTCTTGAGCCACACGGAACATTATACAACGGTTTTCTCAAGAAGATTAGTACTCCTCATGACGAGTAGACTGACCTTTATATGTGAAATCGCTGGTCTTACTCTTATCACGCTTGTTAATTTATATTCCATTCCATTCTATTCCATTCTATTACCTTGTTATATCAATGTTTTCTGTCTTTTTCTTGTAATTACTTTGTAACTATAGTGCCACCTTTTGTGAAATTATTGGTGGAAGAAGTATTCAAATAATTGGCTTAGCTAGAAATAGCAGTACCATACTATATAGAATACTCTATTCCGAGTAATAATTCTGTTTTCAAAATTCTACTTGAGTAAGCATAAAGTAGCATTAAATGGAAATACTCAAGTAAGGTTCAAGTACCTTGAATTTGTACTGAAGTACCGTACCTGGGTAAATGTACTTACTTACGTTCATAAAATTATATACTGTATATAAATAATGACAATATAAAAATATATTGTCTTTACACTGAGAGCCACAAGGTAGGATATGAAGGGTCATCTGCTGGATTTCCTATCCTGAACACAGAAAGCAAGAGAGCACTGTTCTTCTGGCACAGATAATGAAAGAGTGAAAGGACAATTACCAGTGCAGGTATCCTCCTGAGCAAAGTCAAACATGTGTTACATTACCTGTTATGTTACACATAGTTGGAGCACCTCAGTCACACACTGCATCTCCTTCTTTTCTGTCTGTGTTTTTAGCGAGTAGAAAACGGGGATATGAACTGGATCATTCCAGGAAAAGTTCTGGCATTCAGCAGTCCTCACCATCACAGTAAGATAGAGAATGGTGAGTCAGACTTAAATCACCCAGAATTTTATTTAATTGAAATAATTATTTTAAAGTCAGCATGAGAATGTCATGGGTCTATTCTGATCAGAAGTCGCACAGTCCACATTTTCACCATTATTACATTATTGGTTGTTATATTAGTCAGGTACAGGATATTTGTAAATGTCTCATGGTATAACTTTAAAGTGCTATTACTCAGTTCTAACAAATAGTAATGTTTTTTTTCCCAGGTTACCCTCTCCACGCACCAGAGGCATATTTTGATTACTTTCGCCAAAATGAAGTCACAGCTGTGGTCCGTTTTAACAGGAAGTTGTATGACAGTAGGCGGTTTGAGGATGCAGGATTTGAGCACCATGACCTCTTCTTCCTCGATGGGACCACGCCCTCTGACCTCATCATCAGGCGCTTCCTGCACATATGTGAAAGTACTGAAGGAGCTGTGGCTTTGCACTGTAAAGGTAGGAGTACATTTGTGTGTGTATTGATTTTGTTTTTCACAGCGAAAGACATTGCATCTAGCAGATAGGCAGAAAATAATATTATATATGTATAGAAGTGTGTTGCAAGTCAAGGTGTTAAACCTTTTCTTCATTTATTTCAAATTTGTATCTCCTGACTTTCTCCTTTTAAATATTCCATCCAATCGCAGCTGGCCTTGGCCGTACAGGCACTCTGATTGGCTGCTACCTGATGAAGCACTTCCGGTTCACTGCAGCTGAGGCCATTGCATGGATCAGAATTTGCCGGCCTGGTTCCATCATCGGCCCCCAGCAAAACTTCTTAGAGGAGTGAGTCTCAATTGTGGTTCCACGATATAAACGAGATGACTTTGAGGATAATCTTTGAAAATTCTGGGACTAGTCATGTTGGTTCAGAGTGCAATGCATTGAAAGAAGCTGAATTGATTGTCCTGGAATTTTATATGGTCATACATGGTCTGGAGAGGATGAATCCTAATGACTTGACTTAACTTCTTTTTTTTTTACAGTGCCACTAATGACTCTAAATTTTGAATCTAAGATTGTATACATTAAAAATACTTTTTTTAAATACAATGCTTTCTGTTGTCAATAAATCCCATGACAATACCCAAATCAACAATGAATGTATCTAAATAAGAACTATTGATTCCAAATGTAATATGATTTCTGGTAAAAAGGGAGGTTAATATGCTAAACTGGGATGGTGAACGTGGTAAATGTTAGATACGTACAATTCTTTTAAGCGAGCGCTTGCACGGCCCTTCTTAGGGTTTTTGGCCTTGCGACATACAACAACCATGCGACCATAGTTCTGCTCCCAATTTAGACAACGCACACCAGTTCACAAACAGTAAATGACATGCGTAATTAGGCAAGGAGGTTAACATCATGCCATCATGCCTGTGTGAAGAAAAAAAGTACTGCCGCTGCAAAAGAGTGGGATGTCGATTATGTACCATAATGTACCCTATATGCAGCACACTAATCTGTGATGATCAGATTAGAGGTGCACCGTTGGACATGTGCTTAAAGTGTCAGATCAGGCCACACTTCATCTGCTGTCTAGCACATTTAATATCGAATGAGTCAGGGAGGACTTAGATACATTGTATAGATAGAAAGGGATGAAAGGGCATGGAAAAACCCAGGATGTCACTGCACAGATGTCTGCCACCGTCATCCCTCTGATGAGGTCCATGGCTGAGGATAAAGCTCTTGTGGGGTGCGTCTAGACGCCCTGTGGAGGCTCCATTCTGATTGCACTGTAGACTTGTGTGACACAACCAATTAGACAAACCCTGTTTTGACAGAGCCATGCCTTACAAGCACGCTCTGAAATGAATGAATAGCTTCTGTGTCTGCGTTATGTTAACCGTACGTACAACCTACTGAGACAAAGTGCACAGTGGGCAGAGTCGGTGAGACTCTTCTTTTGCCTTATTCTGATGAGGCGATCTCTTCCCATAGCCTTCTTGGCAGGACAAATGGCTGCAGCATGCTCTTTAACTGTAGATGGCGCCAAATCAATATTTACTACTTCAGTTTGAAGGTAGGTTAAGACGAAAGGCATGGGACATGATGTGGGATCTGGGCCTCTCTCCACACACCAGCACCAAAAAGGAGAAACACGCTGTAGAAAAAGGAGCTCTGCAAAGTGCACAGAGTGGTGCTCAGGGAACAACCTACAGCTACAACAGTAGAACAGTTAGCTTTCCGCTTGAGTTTCTTTCTTCTTTATCTGTGGTATTGTCACTTGGTACCTAGGTTAACTTATCACAGAAAAAAAAATTATGAGTGGGTATTAAGAATTATCATTTGACAACTGCAGGAGAGTTGATAGCTTGCGGCTTGTCAGCACAGCTCCATTACCGAAAAGACTTTTGACCAGCAATAATATCTGACTCAAGAATTTGACTGGTCAATGAACCGCGCTGTCTGTTCCTTGTGTGTGTAGGAAACAACACAGTTTGTGGGTCCAGGGTGACGTTTATCGCTCCAAACAGAAGCTCATTCAGCAAAGACTGAGTCGACGACAGCAGCTACAGCAACATCGTCAACAGCAGCAGCTTCACAGCCCTGAGGGAGGCATGTCCCACCTACTCTCCAGCATGGATGACCTATCAATCAACACCACCCTTTACAAATCATACAGCTTGGATGAGGTGAGTATCGGAATGTTCTGGCATCTTTGTCGTTGCTCCCTTGAAAATGAGGATTGTTGTAATTAAAACTATAAACAATGTGGTTTATATTTACAATGTGATCAATGTGATGACTTGACATTTTCTTTTTCAATTTTAAAAACGTTTTCTTTATATGCTGATAATATTCTCTCTCACTCATTCCTTGTGTATACTGTATGTGTGTAGAGTCTCACTCAGGGAGACAAACTGAGAGCCCTGAAGGGAAAACGACCGCCTAGATCAACCTCATCCTCCTCAAGGTAGAACTTGGTTGTAATTAGTTTAAGAGTTATAATTTAGGTAAGGTATGTAATTGTTATTGTTAAAGTAAGTTTGCCATTGTGTGTGTGTGTGTCTGTGTGAGAAAACAACTTGAATGGCAGTGAAAACTCAGCGTATATACATTGAATGGCTATTGCAGAAAATATACAGACAATAAATATAATCAAATTCAATGCTCTGCACACACATGGTCCTTCTACACAGGTGTTTTCACTTATTTTCATCTAAGGGATGTGGGTGTGTACAGACTTGGTTGACATTGGTTTAATGTCCAATTTTGTTTTGCATCAAACTATTATCATTCTTATTTGTTCATGCTGATTGATGACCTCACTTAATTTCAGCACAGCTAAACATAACTTCAACTTGTGCAGAAGTTTCACTACCCCAAATGTTTTATTATGACACATACAGTTCAGTGTTTTGTATGTAAGTAGCATATATTAGTAGTAGTTATATTTTCTATATTTGTGTGTCATCAAATTTACAATATTTACTAATTTTGCATACATTCTGTAATTCCTGTTTCTATATATTTTCTGATCAAATTTTTACATTATACAGTCATGATTCTTAGGTATATTTGACGATTTAGAAAATATCAAAATATCATATGTTCTAATCAATTGTTTGTCCGTGTTTGTTATTCAGGTTAAACCTGTCCAAGGCCTCTCACGGCTCCATTCTCCCACCCCCGAAGTCCCCTAAAGACTCCATCTCCTTCCCCTCCTCTTCCTCCTCTTCTAAGAAGCTTATACGAAGCTCGTCCTCCCTCGCCACGCAGATCAAGAGGTGAGTGTCCATGTTCATGTACCATTTCAATTGCATTTTTGAAATGCAGTGCATCAAAACTATACAGCAAAATAAGCCCAAACAGGTAACTGACTGTGACAACACTATTGTGCAGACATTCATATTATTTCCCATGTCATCCTCCAGATTATATATACAGAGAATCAATGAATTGAAAGAATTATAAAGCAAATTCCTTTCTCTCTTACTCTCTCCCCAGTCCCTTCAGTCTGTTCACCACCAGGCCTGCTGCCATTCACTGACGTCACAATTTGCACAAGTTGATTCAAATGATAATGAAGTCATAAACCGGACTACCACCATGCCTCGGTTGTCTCGGCCTCAAATATTTTATCAAACTTGACAAATATTTGAATTATTTGTCTGACAAAGTAACTACAGGGATTCACATAATCTAGAGTTTTGTAGAGTCAACTCAAAGTAAAGAAGCTTATATTTTTTTACCCTGGCACCATGCATGATGATGACCACCTAGCTATATTTGAACTAAGGTGCTAAAAAATTACAAGCTGATAAAGGAGATATTTGCACACTTACATCTATCCCCCACAAATCTCAAAGTGCTATGTCAACTATGGCAAGCCAGCAGGGACATTCCTTTGTCGCATTTAATATTAGAAGATGGCCATGATCAGTGTAGTGTTTGGAACATCAACCAACTATACTGTCTAGGGAGAACTCTTAGTCCTCAATGGATTGTGAGATAAATGGGTCGTCTACCAATCGAAAGATTGCCGGTTTCATACCTTCGCTCCATGTCGAAGTGTCCGTGGGCAAGACACTGAAGAGGTTATGAACAATAATGGTTATTAGGCAGCTCTAGATGTTACCCTCACTGAAAGCCTTATAGTTCCCCCTGTCGGTTTCGGGAGAATGTGGATGTACACCTCCTGTCTGATTTTAAAGATCTGCTTGTGCAAACACTTGTATTTACTGGTAGCCTTGCACAAGTGGTCTGCAGGGTGGAGAGCAGGTAGATTTTTGGTTATGCCCTCAGATTTATCAAGCCCTCTCTTTGCTGGTTTCTCCCTCTAGCATAATTTTTGGCAAAGCCATCTGCCCTCTACTTGCTAAGATGCCACAGAGCTATGGCTACGCAGTCCCATGTTGCTAATTCTGGAGCCTTTATCTCTAATAATTATCTGTCCCGTCAGGCACTGGAAGGTTCTGAACTTGTGTGTTGTGTTCACCATGATAACCCATGGCTACAGGTTAAAATTGTATTGCAGACCTCCTGTAACAAGGTTGGCGAGTCCTTCGGTTTATCACTAGACCTTCAACCAGAAGTTCAAGTTTCTCAAATATCTAGCAGCCTAAAAGCACAAGAGCAATACCACTGCAGATTGTCAGCTGCATATTGGGTCAACTAGGGACTTGACCTTTGTCTCATGAGCTTAACGGCATTCATAGTACAGGTATAGCTTAAGGTAGGCTTTACATTCAGGCAATGTTGTAAAGGAAAGTATTCTAGGACCAGTGGTTTACAGCCAGCTGATCTACTGAGACGCATCCCAGACAAACTGGGGCGCTGTCCACAAAGACTGTGGGGTCACGGATGTGGCCAGTCTGCCAGGGATGTGTCTGTGATGATCTCCTCACACTTTGACAGTTGCTGCCAAAACTGAGAGCTCAGCACGTCATTGGCAGAGCTGACAGCAAAGCCATGGCGGCCTACATTGACAGGTAGGGAGGCCTAGGCTCCCCAACCTATGCAAACCGGCATACTGTGGCTGTGGGCTCGCCCTCTTCTGCTCACTCAGGGCTTTGCATGTGCCAGAGCCGTTGAACACAACAGCAGATATCATGTCAAGAGGTCCAAACTCAGGAGATGGGAGACTCCATCCTCAGGTCGCAATGGCCACCTGCTGCCCCCTTGGCATTTGGCAGTCACCTTGTTCGCTTCCAGATAGTAGGCACAATGTTGAAACATTGCCTTCTCAAAAGCGTTCCGGTAGAAGAGGTGAGGCTGTTTCCTATTTCGCTCCACATGGCGTGGTTTTCAGCAATTACACCTCTAAACAGAATGCAATGGGAGCTACTGCTTTGGAGGGACCTGCGGAATCATTCAAGCGGGACCCTGTTCCACCTCTTACCGGCAGGGCTCAGATTAGTGGCCTGGCCCCTGAAAGGGACAGCCTGTTGGCGTTAGGCTTTCCAGAGCCTGTAGTGAAAGCCCCATCCACTAGGGCTGCCTACCCATACCGTTGGGGGCTCACCAAGTGGATCCCTACTCAGCTGCAGCCCTGAATGTCATGTCATTTTTGCATACCTAGATGGAATCTGGGAAGTCTGCCATAACCCTGTGAGGGATGGTGGCAATGTTTGTGTATACAAACGGAAAGAGAATGATCCTTGATTCCTTCAGAGATGCCCAGAGGCTGAAAGGTCACAGGAGAGAAAGTCTGTTCACAGAAATTCTCCAGAGCCAAGATTACAATGTAACCATATGATATTTTTAGTTGCCAACAATAATTTTGGCAGCCAAAAAGGTTAGTCATGAAAGTCGTTCATAAGGGAATGACAAAAGGAAAATTGTTTGGTTTGTGTGTGTAGCTGTGTTAAAACTTTTTTCTCCTATCTGCATGAGCAAATTGTATTTTTAACTCTAATGTGCAATGCAAATGTTGTTCCATTTATTATGAAATATATTAATCTGGTTGTGGTTTATATGTGACCATCATAGCTAGTTTTGTTTTAGAAATGTATTGTCTAATTCAAAAATGATCATATGAGCTATTCAATGTACTATTGTAAGATGTCTTTGGAGTTGCTGCAGAGATAATTTTTTAAATGAAGAATAAAGGTTGCTGATGATGATACAATTATTCATATTACTGTTTATTTTGTATCCAGATTTGTAGAATGGGTGAATGTGGGCCTTTGTTTCATTTCACAACCCTAAGGAGCTACATGATCTAGTATTGTTTAAAGTTAACTAGCCTCTAACGCAGGACACAGATAGTGTTGCGCTTGCCACTGTGTTCAACGTACATCGCACACATCGAGGTGGGCACTACTGTCTTAGGCTTTGCTTAACGCAGCTATTGTGGTGCAACCTAAGTCTGTGTAAATAATATGTATTTACTATGCATATAGGAACATATATATACATAACATATATAGGCATGTCTGTTGTAGTGTTTGTATACCTTATAACAAGGTTGTCGTTTATATTATTACATGTAATTATTTAATTAATTCTAATTCAACTGATCAGGTTTTACAACAGGCGCTTCTCAACTGATCAGGTGAATTATACCAAAGTGTTTAGTACCGTTCTGCAGCATGAAAGAATTGATTTAGGTATTAAGATAAGAGTGATATGTTGTGTGCACCACTGAACAGCGCCCCTTTCTCAGAAGATAATAGCATATTATATAATAGCAGATAAGTAGAAGTCAGAATAAGTGGCTCATTTACTCGGGACTTTGACACTTAACTGTGATCTCTACAACTTTACCCTGAAGACCGGAGGCTCACTGTGAGCCCGGCACATCCCAACATTCTGAGATCGCCATAATCGCCATAAAGCCGACCTGAAAGCAAGAACTTCGGAATATGCCTCTTCCACGTCTTGGCCTAATACGCCCCGACAAAGATTGAAGGACGTTGTGTCCTGGATGCCAGATCTCTCTTTCGCTGCTCTGCCAGTTCTACCTTTTGTTCCGGCCTTGTGTTCATGACCCGTCGACTGCTGCACCCCTTCATCATCTGAAGAGATGTTATCATATAATAGTCATATAATAATAATAATAATATAAGCAATAATTATAATAACCATCATAATAGTTATGATTACATTGACATAGCAAATAGGTGCGAGGCTAGACCGGGGCAGCGGAGAGGCAAGCGAGAGGACCACCGCCGATCTTCTGATTGAGGGACGACCTGCTCTTCTACTGAGCCACAGTCGCCATCACTTGTCCCCCACAAAGCACTACTTCATGTCAGATATCAGACCTGATTATAAGTAGCTGTCATGATTAGAGATAGAGGCAACAGGGTGTATCCAACTTAGTCAGCACAATTATTAAACCTGACTGTTGTTCTTCTCCAACAGACAATAATCTCTGTACCTGACCCTAACACAATGCATTTGGCTTTTCTGAATGTAAGAATCCTGTTAGGCAAATGCTAATTGACTAATGATTTTATTACAAATCATAAACTCGAAGTTATTTTTTTGACTGAAATACATTTTTAGCATAAGTTTAGTCAGGAAGAATATACTTTTGCATGCTTAGACATGTAGTTTATTTCTCATACATCCTGCCATTCGCTCCTCTCGTCATGCTCAATCCCAGGGGCGTCGTTAGCCCCCTAAAATGTTCTTCAGCCCCCCCAAATAATTTGGCATTATTGGCTTTTTTTTTTTTTTTTGGTGATGTCATTAAACTATTGTTTCTCACATGGACAAGTTATTTATAACTCTAACATGCTACATATGTGCGTGTTCTGGTTTGTATGTTTTCTCCCCCTTCAAATTACAATCCAATAGCCTATCATCATACTTAACGATATAAACCCCGGGCACTAGGATCTTGGGGAGGCTGCTGCGTGCATGTTTTTTTTCCCATTGAATGGTATATTTGACACTGAACTAGTTCATCTCTATCTCAGTGATAGTGTCCAAATGAGCATAAAATATCACTGGTATGTAAAAACTACACGGACAACAAAATAGATGTAAATATTGATCAAAATCTTATTCCCTTCTGCTCATAATAAAACAAATAAACAACTCAAAAGTTGACACGGTCAGGTCCATTCTCCATCCATTGTGTGCGGTCCCTTTAAGAATTAGGATTTGGGAGTGACGCGGATATGAAAGCTAGTTTATCCGTCTTTCCTTTACAAGTAGGAAAATTATTTCTCTCTCTTTATTTGAGAAAAGTTCATATTTGTGTTGTCAAATTTCACAATGACCCTGAAATTATGTCTCCTGTGTTATCATATACTGAATGCAAGCAAAACTACAGAGCAAAATCACACTCTTTCTGATTGAACCAATCTATGAACTGTCTGAAACAATGGATATCCACGGCCCCAAATGGGCCCCAAAAACAATTGCCGCGCGCTAAGCGCGTAAACATGCCTCTCTCCTTGGGGCTAAGCCCCCCCTTTCTTTGAGTCCTAGAAATGCCCCTGCTCACTCCTAATTTCCTTGCTCTCATTGTTTGGGCCTGTCAATCATGGGGTCTTTCATTTCCTGATTTTGTGCCTCCTCGAGACCTCACTCCTTGTTCCTCCGGCTTGTGACCCAGAAACCGATTCCAGCACTTCAAGGACATCCCAATTCCTATAGTGCATCTCGCGGAGCACGGATCGAGGAGGCTGTATCCTTGTATACTTTCAAGAAGTGTTTGCGGCCCCCGTGACATATAAAATATATGTGACACACACAGCTGGAATAATCTAAAACCATAGCAGGACACTACAAAGGTAACTGTTCCTTTTTGTATTCATAATTTCTGGATATTTAAGATGGTCAGATGTGCGATCAAAGTGCTTGCCGTTCAAAGTTTATGTAGCTCCTCATAAGGCTCTGTTCTAACCACATTTTGTTAATGACATTCTCCTTGATATTCCTTATGTTTTTTAATTTAATGTAAACTACATCCAATTCACAGCTATAATCCTGACATGATGACGTGCAAACAGCTGCTGCATCACATTTGTATATAGATAAGAACATTGGATTTAGCACTAATTTGTTGTATTTCATGTTGTTAAGTAGATAGACAGGACTGTGTGTATATGATATACATGTATATGACTTAATCATATGTCACTTTTCATTTGTAGTGCTTTACACAAAATAATCTATAAAGCCTATAACATTTATGTGTGGGTGTGTGTGTTCAATAAAAATGCATGACATCCGAAATATTCTTGTCACATTATGCCACGTTGTGAATTAAATTACTAGTATATAAGCTGTCATGAACACCGTTATGCTCTTCTGACAGAGATTATAAATAGAGCAGTATAACCAAACAATGGACAGCTGATTCAGCTGTGACACACGCCGTACTTAATTGACATTGCATTAAAATGATGGTCCGAAGTGAGGAGATCTCATTTGTTAAATGCTTGTGCCCTTGACTCCTCTCTCCTCACATCTCTTCCTCCTCTGTTCGCATCCCCTGTGGG